TTCGGTTCGAGTTCGGTTCGAACTTCGAACCTTTCTTGAACTCAAGCCAAAGTCCGGTTCGAGTTCGGTTCGAATTTCGAACCGAACTCGAACTCGGGCAAAAGTCCGGTTCGGTTCGGTTCATAGGAACACTAGTTCACATTGGTTCTCAGATGGATGAGTGAATTTGCAAAACAATAAAAGAAAGTTGGCTATGTTCAGTGAAAATAGTGATTTTGTTCTTTTCTGAAACAACTAGAATATTTTGCATCCCTACTAAACTCTGTAAATATAAGATCTATATAAAACAAAATTCATTAAAAAAAATTGAACTCGTGACTTGAGGAGATTTACAAATGCAATGATTCAATCAAAAGCAATATCGAAATCGATATGAATTCGATTTTTAGCCGTTTTAGAAAAGATGTGCACATGAACAGAGAGGTGACAAAAATTAGGACGATCGTCCACCTCTCTGTTCGTGTATATATAACGATAATCCGGATCTTTACATTGTATTTATAAAAATTTTTATTGTTATTGGTACATACGTAAAGTAAAATAAACAAATACATGTAGGACAAATCCAAACAATGGAGTACAGTATTGTTCCCGATAGGTTGAACAGATACGTGTTACAATTTTGGAAATTCTCAAAGTGCTTGAAAAATCGGGTTGTTCTATTTTTGTCGTTTATTTTAAAAGATTGGATGATTGTTTTTTATAGTCTAAAAAAGATGACCGTTCCATCTGTTTATCAGTATGAATTCAAGAAAAAACTTTTTCACTAGGGGATATTTGATGATCGTGATGGTTGGATCATTGAACTATTTTGGAATGAAATTAGATACTATTTTAAATTTGCACAAATGATTGAATTTATTATATATAAAAGTACTGTAATTTTAATTAAAGACGTATAAAAACTATAGATTCGAAATAATGTACATATGCTACATTAAATTGGAGATTATAAAAGAAGATATCTAATTTAGGATAATAAGCATGTACCGTACAGTACCCACAAAGTAACGCCCCGGTCACAAATTATATTAAAAAATGGAATTTTTCAAGCTATGTACATGTACATGTATATATAAATTTTTATAATACGTAATTTTATATCATTTTAAAGCTAATCAATTATATTTTGAAAAAAATGAAGACTTAGGGGACTTATATTAAAATGAAAGAACTGCTTTAATTATAAAATCAAAGAAAAATTTTTATATGTATTTTACTATGTAATTTTAAATCGCGCGTTATTTTTTGTGGGGACTATTTTAACATACTCAATATTGCAAAAAGTAAACTTTTTTTTATACTAAATTAAATAAAATAATTGAAATAATACTTTGGTAAATGAAAGAGTTAAGAGTTTAGTTATTTATTGATAAAGAAGTTTATTCATTAATAAAAAACAATGTGTACTATTAATTCTTGTTAAAGTATGAGTAATCTTAATCTGGTTGTGTATTCAAATTTTTTAGTCTCTAGTTGTTACAACTGATTCATATATCCAGTAGCATTCATTAGCATTCATGGAATATTAGAGAAACTGTACAATACGTAGTTTTTTTCTAATAATTTATTTACATATCGATATATTATTCATGAAAACTTTATATTTTCCGTAATTAGTAGCACTTGATATGTTATCGTGTCACCAAAAATTACGTATGCAACACCCAATCTTCCAAAGATCGAAATCGCATAAAACACCAACATGCATGAGAACAAGACAAATAGCTTATAAAGGTTGAGCACCTCAAATTCTAATGAAAAAGCTGAAATTTGAAAATTAAGACGTGTCTCTTGTTTGCGACCAATTGGGTAGAAAAGAAGGGTTTAAAATTCAGATTTAAGTCTAAACCAATATTGTGCATATAATTACACTTTATTGTAATCTATTTAGTGATCTTTTTAGAATTAGGGTTAGGGTTAGAGTTAAGCTGAAACGCCATATTTTTTCAAATTAATGAGCATAAAATATTATGAAAAGGATGAAATTACCTTAAAGAATCTTCGGGTAAATTTTACAAAGATTTTTTGTTGACAATGTAAATGTGCATTATTGTTCTTGCTTGTTAAGAGCTTGTGACCTTCCAGACCCTGGTAAATTTTCTTTTTTCCTATTTCTCTTGTATTCGGCAAGAGACCATTATCCCGTCATCGAGTCACGGATCATTTTTCTTGCAACTTGCACGGCACTCAAAACCCCAATAAAAATTACCCATTTTACCCTTGTCAAAGTCGGTCAACTTGAGGCGGTGTGTGTTATGCAAATTTCGCCCAGTGTATGTTTAAATTTATGTTGATGTTGCACATACAAATCGGGCGTTACTTTCTGTGGCGACTGTACACCCTAAATTCAGTGATTTTCAAGTCATTTTTTTCTCAGCAACTATCACGTAAATTCGTCCCAATGTAGGGACTTGCCTCTGCAGATATCCTCTTTGTAGTGCAAAAAGAATATTTGAAACTATCTGTTGTGCTTGAATATTAGGGGTATCGGCAATATAAAAAATAGATTCCGACTGAGGTTGGTCATTTTGAGGAAATGGTCGACAGCCTTGAAAGCTACGAATCACTGTCCAGAAAAAAAAACTGAAATTAAAAATCTCTTCATAAGAATTAAAAGGATAATAAATGTTACAATTCATTTTTAGACCTACCATTGATCACAGCAGTCTTTTGAATCTGTCTTTGTTGAAGCCCGACTTCATTCCACTTGATAATTAATAAAGGATCTCCAGAATAAATCTCATCATCTTCATCCTCAGGAATAGCGTGTTTAGTTCGCATAATGCTGGTCCACTCATAAATAATTTCTTAGGTTCTTTTAGGGAAGTTTTCCAGATGGCTGACATTTTTTGAACGGTGTATTTTTACTGTAAGTTAACCATAACAGAAAACCAAACAAGGGACCGAAGATAATAATGAAAGGTGAGACAAACAACAAGATAATAATGAAAGGTGAGGCAAGCAACAAGAAGATAATAATGAAAAGCGAGACAAGCAACAATAAGGAAAGGGTTAAACAGAAGCAAATTGTTTGCATTTTTATGGTTGAGGAGTGAAACAAGTTTTTTCTTTAATTAGATAATACGATCTAAAAGAGGAAATAGATTATTTGATCAATTACTGAATTAACAACAAACTTTTCCCCCTTTTATTATCAAACGGCACCAATTATTAATCATGAGTTAAAGACTCGTCATCGTTGTTTGCTGATACACTCGGTGAACAAAAGTTTGGAATCGGAAAATGATCAACAATATAGATCATGGCATTTTGGAATACTTATTTAAAAGAAAAATTTACAGATTCCGATCTCTATTCCGATCACACCGGACCACGTGATGTTCTCATGTGGCATATGAATCGAAGTTTAGAGTTAACTGGTAACAAACAACAAATTGCTAATTATTGTAATATTATGTAATAAATTAAACTAGTACATGATCACATAAGATTGGTAACAAAAGAAAAAAGTTGAAAACACAGTCACATAATAAAAAAAGTTAAGAGCACAAAAAAGAGATTGATAACATAATCACGTATAATGGAACATGGTCATATAATAAAAAAAAAGAATGGTAATAAAAGAAAAAAGTTGAAAGCATGATCACATAATGAAAAAAAGATTATTAATATAATTGTATATAAAATATAATTGCATAATAAAAGAAAGAAAAATTGATAATATGATCGCATAATGAAATATGATCATATAATAAAAGAAAATTTCTTTTCATTTTATATACACATTAAAACAAGATCAAATCTATTTGTTCCAGTTTATAAACTAAATATTTTTGCATTTTTTTGTGAAATGTAAGATATTTGAAATAAAATTGTTATTTAGAATAGTGGATATTGTAAAAAAAGAATGTTTTTAGATTTATTTCTACAGATCTTAGTAATTTTTTATCCAAATATATAAAATACTAATAAATTATTAGTTTGTGAAGAAAGAGATAAATAAAAATAAAAATTATATTGAATAATTATAATTATTTTAAGAAATAAAAATTTACTTATTTTTAATTATTAATTTTTTTCCAATAATTATTATAAAAATACTTATAATTAAGAATTGTAATTTTTTTTAAATAAGCAAATTCTAGAATTTTTTAAATTAAAACAAATTATAACTTCTAATTCTTAGCATTTTTGTATGATTTGAATTGTTTTTTTTATTACTAATTTTTTTTGTTATATAATTATACTTTTAATTTTTTTATTATATAGTTATATTTTTAACTTTTTTTTTTATTACTATAATGTATAATATCTAAAGTCATCAAACTTTTGCATTTTATAAAATATATAAACTTCTCAACTAAGAAGCAAATACAAAATTTAATCTGTAAATATGTTTAAAAAGAGACTATTCTATCATATTTATAAATTAAATTTTGTATTTAATTTTTAGTTAAAAAGTTTATACATTTTATAAAATATAAATATTTAATAACTTTAGATATTATATATCATAATTTTTTTATTATATAATCATGTTCTATTATATGATTATATTATTATTCTTTTTTTATTATATGAGTATGTTCTCAACTTTTTCTTCATTACTAATTTTTTATTATATAACCATATTATATTCTCAATTTTTTTCTTCATTATCAATTTTTTATTATATAATTATGTTTTATTATATGATTATATAATTAATTTTTTTTTATTATATGATCATGTATTTAATTTTTTTATTATCAATCTTATATGATTATATATTGATTTTATTTGTTATATAATATTAGTTTTTCTAAGTAAATATTGTTACTGTTTTGAGCTTTTGCGTATGAAAGTATTTCAAAATGGCAATAGTGATTGTGTTCACGGCAATTTACTTTGAATATTATGATTAAATGGTGTTTATGACAATGAATGATGATTCTTGACAAGGTAAAAGTGATGAAAATAAAATTAAACTAATAACAAAACTAAACTGAAGGTAAACTTAATCAAAAACTAATTTAAAATGTATATTGAAATTTTTTGTTAACGCATAATCACTTATGTTAATGAGGAATCTCCAAAAATTATGTGATACAAACCAAGATTGATCAGTGTTTTATCCGGATTGAATTATCTATGTATAATAAAATTTTTATTTTCAAGCAATATCAAGCTGTGTTTATAACTTATATATTTTTGTATTTGTATTCTCTATATTTTCAGCTTTAAAAAGAATACAAGATTTCAAGATATTGCTTTTTTTAAAAAAATTTCAATTATTAGCAAAGATTTTTTTAAAATGAGAATTACTGCACATCATTTTAAAGCTATATAAAAATATGTACTTTAATTTATAAACATTATAAACACAGTTCGATATTCTCAAAAATATTAAAATATTATTCAATATTTTTGTCACCCCTCCCCTTGTATGTTCCCCGTGACGCTTCTTTTATCCGAACTGTTATTACTCAAGACAAGTCATGTCAGTTAGGCAAAATCCAAGGAATAATCGATATCAACAATATGTAAGAAGAAATCAATTATAATAACAAAAGAAATAATGCTGCAATAAAGAACAAATTTAAAGAATCTATAAGATACTTTTTTCATACTTATTCTTACCTATATCTTCAACCTCACTGTTATTCATATTTTCATTTTCAGTATTAGCCTCGATATTAGATATATTATTTACGAAGGACGCTTTCACCTATTTCTAACTTTGGTGATTAATAGTTTTGTGATTAATAGTTTTGTGACTAATCGAAATGAAAGAATGGTTTGGTTTGAACCGATAATCTAGTTTTTAGGTTGGAGACACCCATTATCCGCAATACGTATGTATGGAAAGAATATTGTTTAAACATTTTAAATGTAATTCATTTGCTATAGTATGTAATTACATGACAATTCCAATATCTTATTTTTTGACTTATTATAATAAATTCATAAGAGGAGAAAGAGGAGTAAGGAGAAGTGAGCGAACGAACAACAACGGTTTTCATAGACCGATAATTTTGAATCAAATTATCCAAAGTTGCAATTCGAATTCAGTTTGATTTTTTCGCTGCTCATTAAGATTCTTTATTTGAAGATTTAGGAGTTGAAACGTTTAATGCAGCAGGAGCACTTGAAAGGATAGTTCGATGCAAAAATTTATAACTTTCTTTCTTATAATTGATCTTTCTCGATGAAATTTTTATTATAAATTCATTTGTAAGAAGACGACATTTAATAATTCCATAAGAAAATTGGTTAGAAGACTTTTAGTGCTACGATATTTTTCAAGTCAGAAATGCTTTCCATGATTCTGATGGTAATGTTAAGCTTTTTAGTAAATAGTTGGTATTTTAACAAGATTCTGGTTTATTTCAATATAGCGATTAATAACATCTATTTTTCGTTTTTCTTAACTTATGGAGAATTTGAGAGAATATTAAATTTACAGGGTAAAATAGAATAATACAGTGCTCGTCATAAATGGTGATAATTTTTTATTGCTTTTTTTAACAAGCATGCATCAGAAAGTTTTAAGAATTATTCTTTAAGATTCAAAGAAAACAATAACTCGAGGTTAGTTTAGCAACATAATTTATTAAATAATTTTTTGCAAAATTGGCAAAATAATAAAGCAACTTCAATAAGCTCTCTTAAATAAAATTGTTCTTCATAACATAAAAATGATATTTGGAGATATTTTAAATAATTTGACCATATAATAAATTAAAATATCTATTGCAATTTTTAAAATCTCATACTACGTACGTATTATCGTTATATAAATGATAATGATTTTTAAAGAATATAATTCAAAGATTTTGTAATTGTTATCATTTACAAAACTCTCATTGTTTATGTCGAATTTCATCTCGTGAATTTAATGCTGACAAAGTTATAATTATTAGCTTATTAAGCTATACCAATTACCGAACTGTTCGCTTCACATAGAAAGTTTATTCATGTCACATCATATTTCTGTTGTATGGTGGGTGGGGACACAAATACGCATCAATATCGATATGTGTTTCAAATTAAACTAAAACCTTGAAGGTTTGTATTTCAATTTATAAACGTTTGTTATTCATTGTTACAAAGAGCAAAATGAGGTGTTTAAATTTTGAATTATTAATCCGTATTTTTTTCAAAAAATTCTATCGATCAAGGACATTTTAAATTTGTGTACCAAAATTTTTTGTGGAGATTTAATAACGTAATCTGGAGTATGGTCAATGCAAACGGCAATCAAATAATCCAACGTGCAATTTTGCTCGTGGAAAAGGTTCTATTTTTATTTTGTTCACTCTATTTATCAAGTACTCCAATCATATAGATTATCGTTATATACGTAATATCGATATACTTTACTTTTGAGATTTTTCCGGGTAAAACAGATATCCACCGGATCCAAAATGGGTTGCCACAACGGACACGTACTCAGCAGGAGAAAATTGATATGCGTAGTAAATTAACATTGAATTATTAATTATTGTTATTAACGAAGATGCGCATAAATCCATAGTACGGTCGTAATACCATAACAATCCAAATCAGGTCTAAGTCCAAAATTCAAGAAAATCGCATAATGTGACATTTGACCAAAATTAACAATCTGTCGTGTAACAATGATGATCATTTTTCAGATATAAAATGACAAAAGAACGACCAACCTCTCCAAGTTTTTTTCTTCCAATACAAAAACCCAACTCTAATACAAACACATATACATACTTATACACGCACACATATATATATAAATATGGTATCGCAATTACCAAATGAAATCCTGATTCTCATTTTCAAAAATGTCCTACATAATTCAAGGTAAAATGGTCAATAACAAACACGCGCCATACGCTTATCTCTTCCGAAAAATCGTCTAAAAAATTTATTATTAAAAAATTTAATACATATATCACATACAATACTGTCTATAGATATCATATTCTAATCATCTACTATTGTTCGCTATTATTAGTCTTAAATTGGTAGTGAAGTTACGTAAGACTTGCAGAAAATGGAACCAACTGCTGGAAACCGCAATTATCGACCACGTAAAGGACAGATTCAAAAATGACTTGGAAATAAAAGTTAATAACTATTTTATCTATTTCGAAAATATTTCAATGTTCAAAAACAGAGATGTTAACAAAGTCTCACACAGTACGTGGGAACTTCGGCTCTCATGTGTGATATCGCGCATCGTCTTCTTCACCACCTAATCGTCAATCATCGAATCCTCTTCATTTATTCAGATCCAAACTCGATTACCGGATCTAATCACAAACTACGCCACACATATGGTCTCAACAGTCGTATACGGTGACGCTAGAAAAAACACACCAGTGAACGGATTTAAATTCTATCTTGAAGAAAAGAACGCTGCATGGTGCACGACGGAGATGGGTTTTGACCGCCAATCGATGGGACTTTTACAAATTCAATTGATGGTTGGCGAGAAAACAAGAGAAAATGACTTTGGCGGAGTTTGGTTTGACATTCCATACAATAGGAAATTAGTTGAAGGCAAGTCGGAAAATACTTACACGACTCGTTTACGTCTCAAACATAGCCTCATAATGTCGAACGGAATGAAGAGCAGTATAAATATTGAACATATGCCAGTTGTGACTTGCGAACGAACTCTCCCAACAACTAATCATTATGATTCTGCCGATAGCGGATACGGAGACTACGACGAAGATTCTGACGAATATTTTGGCGATGATGAACCTGATTTTCAGTTCTTGGAAATGAGAATTTCTTCACGGCTCCTTTTCTCAATGATTGACGAAAAAGACAATCGTGCGTCATAATTTAAAATTTCTTTAACTTTGCATATTATCTGTGTACATACTATCGCTTAAAGTTTACGATTATCCCATAAAAAAATAAATCTTGATTATTTGCCAAGTTTGCAAACAAACGGTTCTTTATCGAGTTATTGCGTTGCGTGCTTATTACAACTCGCAATTCCTAATTTTGTATTCTTAGTATTATTCTACAAACCGATTAGAGGCATTTGCTCTGGTCTCTAACGTTAATGTAAAAAGACTTTACTGTCATAAGACTTAATGTTCTCTCAAATATCATCATATTTTTCTTAAATATCGAAATGAAGTTTTTCCGTGAGTTTCCGTAACATTATATAACGATAAATGAAAAACGATTTCGGAAAGGATAGGAATTATCATTACAACCGGAAAAATAACACAAATATTGCTTATTACAGTAATTATAGTCCTGAAAAATTCAAATACATGGACTATTTACTTTGATACAATTGCTCTTTTAAAAAGCTACTACTAATATTATTAGCGTTAGCGTTAGAATAAAATGTGCCAAAACAAGCAATAACCTTTATTTAAAAAAATCGTTAGATCATCACAATCATTAAAATTTAATGTACAATTAGCACGGAAAGTAATGACGGACATGTTTTTTGCTTATATTTTAATTAGGAAATTTTCAAAAATTTGTAGATATATTCTTTAGGATATTAGGAACAAGGTTTCTTAATATCATAAAGCACATTAGCATAATAATATTTCGCGGAATTTCGTGTTAAATGTGACGAATTGTAATTTTTAACGTTTAAGAAGGAATAAAAAATTATTTTTAAAAAGAATTTTATGAAAATATATTTTGTGACATAAAGAATTTTTATAATTTAAAAAAAATTTTGGTTCATTTTTATTTAATAAATGTCATTCAAAAAAGGCTTTACTTTGATAGATTTTTTTTAATAAAACATAGTAAGTCTCATTTTACTATATTCTACTATGTTTTATCAAAGTAAAGCCTTTTTGAATAACATTTATTAAATAAAAATGAACCAATTTTTTTTAAAATTATAAAAATATTCTTTATGTCACAAAATATATTTTCATAAAATTCTTTTCAAAATTTCTTATTAAAAATATTTTTTAAATAATTTTTTATTCCTTCTTAAACGTTAAAAATTATAATTCGTCACATTTAACACGAAATTCCGCGAAATATTATTATGCTAATGTGCTTTATGATATTAAGAAATCTTGTTCCTAACATCCTAAAGAATATATCTACAAATTCTCACGACTTTTGACAATCTCCTAATTAAGATATAAACAAAAACATGTCCGCCATTACTTTCCGTGCCAATTGTACATTCAATAATAACTATTCATTCTTCATAAGGGGCAATCCATTCCAATGACATTGGAATATACCGTAAAGCGCTCTGTATAGTATCCCCATTTGTAGAAAATTTAAACCTCAATTTTAGTGAAATCTGAATTTAATTGTTTGCGGAAAAAATAATTGGATTTACTAAAATAATTGGACTAAATTATGGTTCAAATTTTTACAAGAGGGGATATTATACAGAGCGTTTTACGGTACCGTCCTCTAATTCTATATGTTGAACTTGATATATATTTCTTATTATGTAATTTAATTCTAAGTAATATCGATTGCGATTAATTTAAAAAAACACACACACACATACATAATACGTGTTGAGAAAGAACATTTTCTTAATTCAAGGGCATGATGTTTGTGAAATTGGTATTTGCGTAAGGAAAAACAACAGAACTTGATATTGATACGTAGAAAGCATAATGATAACGATAACGATAATCTTCATTATCCTTAACTAAAATAAAACAAGATTAGCATTATAGCTTAGAAATTATATTTTCTGCTTATAAAAATTCGGGTATAAAAATAGCATGAAAAATACGAAAAATAAATTGTTATATTACGGAATTTTAGGATAGAAAAAACACGGAATACGTACGTAGAACGTTCTCCATAAATTTTTCGTGATATTTCCTTATTGGAATTTTTATAGGGCTTGCATTCGTTCTGATTGCACTGCAAACTTATACTGAAAAATATACATAACAATAACGATAATAAACATTTCAAATCAATTGGCTTAGAAACTTCATTGAGTAGTTTTTAATTCTCAAATTTGAAACATAATTTATCGTAACTTTTACTTGTACATGTATAAACTGCTTTTTTTCTAGTGGTTTTTTATTTATTTGATTTAATCGATTTTTAATTATGTACATGAATGCTCTTTCATATATTTGTTTGTTTATTTATTTACATGCTTTTTCAGTCAAAGAAATTTACACATGAAATCGCATTTTTAATTATCGTTATGTACCTGAACAGCAAAATTAAAGTCGGTTGTTCAACGTTACAAACACAAAAATGGCATTACTGATTTAGCATTTTTCTTGTTTTGATTGAGAAATAAAGTTTTATTAAACCTTGCATTACTTTTTGAACTTATCGTTATACGTGAAACTAACGTTAAGGATCTTATCGTCATTTTATAAGTTCCGAAATTTATTAATTTTTCTATAAATGGGTCTTTTCACATTTGTATATAAGAGAGCATCGAATTTTGATTTCGTCTTATCGGTAGTATATAATATCTCGAATTCAGAGAAGTTGAAACAAAGAGTTCAAGTTATTTAAATAAATATAACATAGGTTACCGTCACGTATTTTATATTATATATATCTAATTAAAAATGCATAGTCCACTCCCGTTAAATCGAAAAAACTATGGTTGGCTTAACGAGAATTGACTGTATATCCTGTACGTATTTCTGTCTTAAATAACGAGATGTGGAACTGGGACTTGGCTTTTGGTAAACTAATTTAAGTATCCCGAATAATATTTAGTAGTGATAGATACTTTATATTTAAAATTGCAATCTCAGATTTTCCACTGTTCTAAGAAATACTTATATTTTAAAAGTATTTTATAGGAAAGCTCAGAACTCTGGTTTTTCCGCTATCGCTATGATGAATATAAAATCTGACCTCTTGATGCAATTTCTACATTTGTCATAAGAAATACGTAATCATCGTTATACGTATGTACACGTAGTATTTTCGTAAATTATGCATTGATTTCGAGAATGGTAATAGAAATTTTTTACTGTCATCCAATAAAATCACGTATTTTTTGACCAGAAAATCTATCAAAGACAATTTACTCACAATCATCCGATTATATTTGTAAAAACAAACTGCAAAGCCAACATAAACAAACATCACTAATCCCAGTTTAGTTAGATGTTAAAATAAAAATTTCGATCTGTACTCCGTAGTTCTATTATAGTAAGTTCAGGGTAACTTGGGCAATTCGTTTGTTTGATTAATTATTGTTTTTTTTTAAACAGAAAGAAAATTTGATTTTTTTATTCCCTTCAATTCAAATATTAATTTAATTATCATTATCATTGAACTTTGTACCATTTCATTTGTTTATATTATACGAAAAATTATTCGATATCGATATGACAATCTTAACGACTATAATTGTATCATCACTGATCATCGCTACTGTAGTTGGTCCATCGGCGCTCACTGTGTATCACTGTCAAAAGAATCGAAAAACACGAAAAGTAGATATCGGGGTACAATGTGGTGAAGGTGAAGATGTATGTGAATTCACAGTTGCTGCTTCTACGGCACCGACGAGTAGTAAAGATCAACAAGGGTCGGAGACGTCGACTTTGAATACGGTAATTTACATTTTATATTTTGCATTTTAAGCATTATACGTAATAAACCTTTTACATGTAGTCGATTCAGTTTATTCGTAAAAATTTGATAGATACATATATTTCTTTTTTAAAAGGTGTTAGATACAGACTCTATTGAAACTGTAAACACTTCTGTAACCCCTTCTGTAGTTCCTTTTCCAGCTGTTGAGTGGGATATTGAAGGTAGTTACGTTGCCTGGTGGGGGACTTCTGTACCACCAAGAGAAAGACCATCTAAATCTCTTTGGTGGCTGCAGAATCCAGATTACTTTTGGAATTTAGGTCTTGGTGTATAATTGAAATTCATATAAACATATATAAAAAATTTGTTAAAATTGTTGAAATTTCAATTCTTGGTGCATGGTATACTGAGAATAGTTTTTCAATTCTCGAATTTCGATAAATAACTATTCTGTTAGTTTATTTACACACTAAAAATCTGTGTCGTGATGTGGGAATATTCACAAATTCGAATAGTGTTTTATAATTAGTACGTATTCGGAATAGGGTCATGTATGTGTACTACTTTTTTACAAATCACTTCCATGATAAAAGTAAAAAGGTTGAAAAGATGGCGTTCATATTACTACATGTACGTAATAAGGTTGAAATTCTCATTTATCGTTATGAATATCGTATACGATATTCAAGTTTCCGATTCTGACAAATACGTATGTATCGATATGTAATGCAAAATTGAATTTTTCCCACATACCGAAATTTCTATCGTAATAAGTTATTTGAGAATTACGTACGTATCGTGAATGACTGTCATGCAAGAACTTGTACTTTCATTTCTCTTATTCAACTGAGTTTTAATTTACTTAATAATTCTTTTTATTATGCTAATTGATGAATTCACGATTACAAACTTTCTATTCCTAAAGTAAATCTGCAAATTAATTCTCGACTTTCAATTACAACCAATATGTATAAAGAAATATAATATCGCGGTAGAGAATAACAACTAAGAATAATATATACATCAAAAATAATATATCAAAATATATCAAATCCAAAAATAATCTGAAAAATAAAAAAGCTCATTCTTTAGTTTCACCAGGCTCTGCGATTCTTGACAACTCCATAAGCTTTTCGGAACCATCATTATCACAATCAATACTATTGCTACTATTATCAGAATTCGGAAGAAACAGATTCCCAGCAGCCAAGTAGATACGCCGCTCTATTATTTCACCTATATTGTCAAGCATGATACCACTCAACGGATTTGGCGACGACGAGAATATCGAAGAGTCTGTTGGCAGGGAAGCTGTGAATCTTATTCTGAACGGAGATTGAAGCATTGTGCTGCTGTCTGTAATTGAAGGTGCGGGCGAGGGAAACGAGTCCATGGGTTCTTTATCCTCGAAAGTAGAATTAGTGATAGTAGTATTCGTAGAAGTGAATTTGTATGTTTCAGAGTGTAGGCCAATTATTGCGTATAAGTTTTTAATCAATAAACGCAATTTTTGCCAGTTTATCTGTTGTAATTGTTGATGACTCTGTTGATTGAATAATGAGGATGATGATGGTGGTGACGATGTTGCATTAATCGTATTAGTTGAATTTGTAATAAAAGTTTCGTTTGCTTCCATTATTGCCGTAATATCTTTGAGACAAGTTGCTATAATATATTATATAGAATAAAAATTGGTTAGCCAAAAAATTTAAAAGCGCCAAATAATTTTAATTAATCCAGTTACCAAAAAAAGGCACAGCAGGAGGCCGACATTTTGCTAATGCCTGTCGATAATAATCCATATTTTTCGAAGTATCCAACAACTTTTCAATTTGTTGCGAAGTGATAATATGTTTATTTGCAAGATTCGCCCAGGTTTCCTCGAGTCTTCGTATTGAGCGAGAATTTAAGCCGAGTATGATCGTCATTGATGTTTGGAAATTGTTCATTTGGCGACAGTACTGAATGAATTTAGAAAAACAGTTATTAGAGAACCAGCAAATAAGGAAATAGAAATTAGGCTGAAAATTACTTTTGCGACTTCAATGAATTTCTGCAACATATGCTTTCTCATTTTCACTTCTTTTAATTTACATATTTCGAACGCCACCCAGTGGCTGATCTAAAAAAAATCGAGTCATCAATTAACACGCACGAAAAAATAATCACATGAACATCGAATATATATACGTATATACGTACCATATTAGACCTCCTAATGAACTCATCGATGCGACTTGCAGCCTCTTGATGATTTTGTGAGATCTCATCATGTTCGTTATCAATTGTACCATGTTCCATCATTTGCCGTTTTTTCCGCCACCCGGTAATATAGTCGTATAGTGTGATTGATTTGAAAGCACTATAATCCATAAATGTTAAGTACTTTGCGATATTCTTTGCGTCGTAATCAAGTAAAGGTGATGTGTCGAGTAAGTCAGAAGGTGGCATGAAAAGTTGTGCATTGTTGTGGTTATCGTTCATGGGTAAAATTCTTGCCGCATTTTGTAATTTATCGTGACTATTGTCACCTAACTATTAACAATAAAAAAAATGGTCATTTGCTATTCGCAAATATTTTGATTGTGGAAATTTAAAATTTCATACCTGTTCTTTTAACGTCAATTTGATTTGATCCGCTTCCGCAGGAAATCCAGCGTTTTTGACATCATCGTCAAGAAAACTAGCAAGACATTCGTAGAGAATTTGATCTTGGAAATTTTCGGATTGAATAGCGACCCATCGGTGAAGTATTGTCAAAACGCTAAATTCAAAATAAACATGCTTCTTATTAATATCAAAGATCGAAAAAAACGAGATCAAATAACAAGTGAATAATAAATGGTTACTTCATTTGAACGTAGCTCGACAAATTGTTGTTATTTTTGTTATTATCTTGGGACTGTAAATGAAATCTTAAAATCATATTCTCTAGAAAATCTCGTGATTCCATAAAGAACCCATGACAAAGGATGAAACAATCAATAAATTCCAAATCTAAGAAAAAAAAATGAATTCATATCATAATATATCAATAGAAGAACAACAACAGGAAATATTCCGACAACTCACTCTGACCGTTTCCATCTACCATCCAGGAAATAAGACTGTCAATTGTACCGTGCATGATTTGAGGTCTTTTATCTACGACACCCAATGTGAGACCTTCTTTACTATGGGCATTGCAATAGTGAGTTAGGTCTCCGTCATCGAAATCTGAAAAGTCCCCAGACCCACGCTTGTGAATGCAAACAAGAATTAGAATTGGATAATATGAAAATTTGCGAAAATAAAAAAATGAATATCTTACATTTTGCGATGTCGAAAAAAGACTTTGCGGTTTTAACAATGAAGTTAAGCTAGGTTTTTTCTTCATATTCAGACTACTAGAGCTGTTTTAGCGGAACAAATTCTAAATTAAAACAAATATGATTTCTCAATTGAATAAGAATATAATAATACCTTTTCTTCATCATAATTCTATAGAACGTTTCATTTTTACCATCATCTGTTGCAATGTCGCTATGAGCATTATTAATGCTATTATTGCGAATATCATTGGAAGAGTTTTCCCTAATTTCTTCAGGATGTGTGCTTAATGGTTTATCATCATATTCGGCCCATCGCTTTTTCAATGATCTTAGATCAGATTCACTGCTCATTTTATGAGGCACTTTCGGACGTTTTAAGGAAAACAAACGATTTGTTGATCTGGTGCTTTTTGTCGAACTGGTTGAGCTTCGAGAAGGCGAGAATTCCGGAGCATCAGAGAATTCGACTACACTTGTAGGAGTCGTAGAAATAGATTCGTTGACTGGCCAATAATTTCTTTTTCCTTTCTTGTTGAACTTCCTTTTCGATTTAGGATGAATGTGTTTAAGAAGGTAGGATTTTATGCTCGAGTGTGAGGAACTTCGACGTTTTTTTTGTTCCTTAGTTTTGCTTCTGTTGTGCCCTTCAATGCTACTCCTGTTTGACGATTCTAAAGTGCTTAATGCTGATTTAGTACTTAAATTTTCGTGGGCGTATAATGATCTTGTTGAATTTGGAGTTCCAATTGACGCGTCCGATAAACGACGACGACAATGGCCTCCTAATATATTTACAAAATATTAATATAATATTTTTATATTTTGTAAAAGTGATATATGATTCATTACCTAACCAAGGAACGCTCGGCACTTGGGCTGGCACTCCGTCAAATTGTTCTTTAAATTTTGAGCTGGTAGGAGTGTTATCAAGGGAGCTAGTTACGCTTGCCCATCCAGTAGATTTTTGTTCCCCGTGATCAAATTCGAGAGCTTTAATATCTTGTGCGATTTCATCACTTTGTTCTTCGAGAGTCTGTAGTTGGTGATGATTCTCGGCGTCTTCGGAACCGTGAAAAGAAGTCTCAACGCGTAGATGAGGAAAAGGTTTTTTTCTAAATGATTTCTTTGGGTTACTTGGCAGCGAGGTATTTGGGGTAGTGCTGTGTGTATTTAAATTTGGCATTGTTCGGGCAGAAGCAATGGATGATACATTGGAGTTTGTAGAAGCATTTGATCCGGTGCTGTCTGATCTCTATTATATGTCAAGAAATATGTTAGAATTTTAATGTAAACGCTTAAATATAATGATTATCACTCACTTTTCGATAGACACTTAAATCCCCATTTGATCTTCTTCCCGAAAATAAATGGCCATTGATATTCAAAAATTTTTTTGATCGTGAACGATGATTTTCATCCTTATCGTTATCCTTATCTTTACTAAATGAGAGTGTAGAAGATGGTGATCCCAACGGAGAAGGAACGCTTCGTTTTAATGTTTTGAAGCTCTTCAATACTTTTTTCTTGACTGTATGTTAGGAGAAAAATTTTTTTAATCACTGTCGAGACGAAAAAAATTTGTGAATGTGAAATTTAATACTCACACGAAATCTTTTTTCTAGGCGTAAAATTAAAAATAAACTAAAATTTAGCAAGTTTGAAGATGCGTGAAAATTATAATGTCAGTTTGTATTTAGCTTACTTCAGATTAGTGTTGGGGTTATCCATAGTTGAACAGTCTGTAAATGCTATAATAAAAACATTAGATTTCGATCAATTGAATTTATGCAAAAAAAAGATTGTGAAAATCAACACTTACGTTCTTCAAAAGTAATATGTGGCAAATGATCCTTAACAAAGCCTATAAACTTTATTAAAGCGTCCGCGAAGTCCGTTGAATTCAAGATAAGAGCACTGTATATATGCTGTCGAAGTCATCTTTCTCATTATTACATTATCGATATCGAAAAATAAAATCATGCTATATAATGTTAAATTATTACCTGTCCATTCGATGCCGATGGATTTGAATCCTTAATCATTCGAACCGTCTTTAAAATCGATCCAGCCTTTCCCCGTACACATTCATTGAGTAAATTATACTCGTCAAGTTTCACAGCATTGGTGAGATTTTTGAGGATCTGATCGTTATATTGGATCAAAATATCGCGAATGGTGCGGAGCAGTAGAGCGGATGCACTTAGTAAAGATTCTTTTTCATTGTTTTTGCCATTGTTTGGTAATAAATTGTTTGATGGTAGATTATCGTCATCGGGATTCATGTCGAGATGATAAAAGGTTGAAAGAAGATTCATTGACGATGTTTTTGGTGTATTGTTACTATCACTATCATCAGTAGTAGTAGTAGTATTATTTGTCTCGTTATTATTGTAAGAAGATGATTGTTGTTTATTTGTAGAATTCGTGAGCAATAATGTTGGTGCTAGGATTAAAATTGACATTAATGCGGATTCCAAAGTCGAAATTGAATTCTGTATGTGTGATAAAAAAAATAATATTAACAAGACAAAATCCGGTTGTTTTTTCGACTACGACTATCAATACCTTTTGATCAAAAATATGCCAAGTTTCCGCCTTTTTCTGTATTTCACGTAGTTTCTCTAATATACATTTCACGTCTTCTGGTAGATGTAAATAATTTAATTTGGCTATTCCGTCTTCTTCGTTGTTGTTTTCGATGCCTTGCGAGTAGAAGGATATCGTGTCATGTTTGATGGAACCGGTGTTTTTAACAATATCATTATTTACACTATTGTTAAGGTTATCTTTATTATTGCTGCGATTCTGGGATTCTACGCGTTTGTCGCGGATTTGGTCTAGTGTGTAACTATTACTCGTACTAATATTATCCGTATTATTATTATTATTATTATTTAAATTATTATTATTATTATTATTATTATTATTATTATTATTATTATTATTATTATTATTATTACTATTTTTTGATGTGTCATTAGAAGACGACGATGTGGTATTAAATTTTAATTTTTCGATTTTGGATAGTCTGCGCAAGTTTTTGCTCTTGGTCGTTGATGACGGTGTTGGTGTAGTAGTTGATGCTTTTTCTACTTCGTCAGACGTGAAAATCGAATTTAAAATTTTGACTATTTCCCACCCCATTTGCGTTTGAGTATATATTTTTATTTTGGAATATTATCACCTTCTTGTTACAACGTCGAGAGATACGAATAAAATATTTGTCGTGTTCTTGTGTGTATGAATTATTCTGTTATTATGTCTATATTATAGTTTTGTTGGATTTAAATTTAAGAATTAAAAATATATTAAAAGTCGGCAATTTTATTTTTTAGTTAATGTATGTATGTATGATTCAATGATTAATTAGAATAATAATTAATCTTGGCGAATGAAAGAGAATGTGGATAAAAGGACAAGAGGGAGGAAGAAAAGTAATGAAAGATGTAATGATAATCGTATAATAATAACAACAAGTATATTATTCTATATCAAGCCTTCGAATTTATTATATCATGTAAAAATATATTATTTTGTTATGTTTTAGAACAAGAATTTATTTAATTGATTTTCTCTCTCCCTGCACAGCACGGGACAGATTAATACTGACACTTCGATCTGATTCTATAAATTGTAGCGTGTATTGGTGCGGTGTATATGTCAAGACGTCTTTTTTATGGGTTATTGCAAATTTGTAAGTGTATTTATTGTTAGGACATGATTCATCAATTGCTTCTATAAGGAGTTAATGGAAAAAAAATTGGGTATAGATAAAGCGATACAAAGACAGAAGCATAATCGTTTTGTTATATGTGTATATATATTCATGAAATAGCAAGAATACATTTTCTGAATGTTCTATTCTATTGATTTGATGTGATTGAGACTGATGATGGAGTGAAGTCGAAAAATATATAATTTAAAATCAAGTTTTTTGATCTCTTCTTGTTCTGTTTTTCCGGTTTAAATTTGACGCGCCTTATAAGAAATAGAAATTATTATCGTGATATCATAATAATTTAAAAGTATTTCATGCATATTTTTCCACTCAGACTAATCTTCGAAAGGCTAGTAATGATAAAATGATTTGGTATTAAATTGGTGGTGATTATGTATTTCAAGCAGTTATCGAGCATAAGTGAATTTTTTTTATTTTTGGTCTAAAACTAACTCCATTAAAATTTGTTTTTGGCTTATTTTGGCAATCAATCAAAGAAATCAAGTAATAAATCAACTGATTAATGTACTCTCGCCGTTAACGTGGCATACACCCTTACATATCGTGGCTGCGCGCAAAGCTGCGGTTAAACCAGCTAAACCGGCTAAAAAAAAACCTTTTCTTTCGAACGCGTCCTCCTTTTCGAAAGTGTCTCATGATACGGGCGTCACCAGAGCATCATAGCCGCGACATTACATCGCAAACTAGACTTTGATTTCTTTCTTTGTCTCACTCTTTTTGGCTCGCTCTTTTGCCCATTTTTTTTTGTTTCGTCGTAATCGCTAATTTTGAGCAAACAATCGATAAATTTATTGATCGAAAAAGAAGGATTGGCTTGCAATCAATGCTAACATAATATCAAGCACACAAAGGACAAAAAAGCGAACGCTTTTTTTGTGAGAAGAAAATACCGTATCAATTTAGATTTTTTTGGTCTTTTTATGACACTATTCAGATGTTTGTGCTCACTCAGTTTAGCATAATAAAAAAACAGATGTACAGTATGTCATTTTCAGAAACAATAAGATTGCGTTTTTGGAATCTAATCCTTTGAGAGTTATCGTTATCGATTCATGTAGGGTTGATGGGATGAACGGATATATACTATGTATTTATTCTATTCCGAATTAAGGAACAATAAAGGTATTCCTCACCTTTTATAGAACGCTGCTATATCACTCCCTTTTTTTTAGTCGTCAATTTTTTTATAGCAGGATACGCGCGTGCATCACTAACTTTTCCGGATCAGAAAAGGTAGATCTAGTGGTGACTAACTGCGTTGTAGACGATTGGCTAATTTAGAGCTTACCTCGACGATCTACACTGCTGACGTACATGTCCACATCAACTATCAAAACTAATTTTTTCATCTTTTTTATAAACTATCCTTTCAACGATGGTAAATAATTAATCTTCATATGTTCAATAGTCAAATTCATGCGGCCAATTGACTGTGTTTGATTTTTACTTAGAATAGAAACCAATACGATAATGATATTTCTACCTGGAGTCCCCAAGGTCGTATCTATCAGGTAGAATATGCCTTGGAGGCTGTCAAACAAGGGTCTGCTGCTGTTGGTTTGCGCTCAAAAACCCATGCTATACTGCTGGCATTAAAGGTGATCGTCTGTAATAAAACTCCGTTAATTTTTGTCAATAAGTATATTTAATTATCATATCATATTTTAGAGATCTTCAGGTGAACTCGCCTCATATCAAAACAAATTAATTCGTATTGATGATCATTTAGGCATAGCAATTGCTGGATTGACTTCAGATGCTCGGGTATTAAGGTGTGTGTGTGCTTTTCGCGTTAGCGAGTGATTTCGATCCCTCGTCTTATTAGTATCAACTGTATTTGTTGTCTTTTACGCAGCAATTTCATGCGAACAGAGGCTATGAAATCTAAAATAATGTATAATCGACCATTACCCGTGTATCGAATCGTTTCGGCAATTGGCGATAGTACGTTAAGCTCAACCAATTATATCTCAATTTGTTTTCTTCTTTCTCGTTGAATTAATATGAACTCTAATATATCAAAACAGAGTCACAAGTAAATACACAGAATTATGGGCGTCGACCGTATGGTGTTGGTCTTTTGGTCATTGGAGTCGATGTAAGTTCTCTTGGCTGGCTGACCAGATTTCTAGTTGTTACAACTTTGAAATTAGCATATCATTCGACTTAATTTTTATTTGTTTATTTCGGAATTCAAGGAAACTGGACCACATTTATATGAAACTTCTCCATCTGGTAACTTTCTTGAATACTATGCCATCTCAATCGGAGGTCGATCACAATCAGCGAAAACTTATCTCGAGCATAATTACGAATCATTTGCTGATGGTATACTAATTTAATATTACCTAATGTATATACATGTTCATATACTATAGTAATACTAATGTATATATATTCATGTAAATAAAAGCTGATGTCGACGAACTTATCGTACATGGACTCCGCGCACTTCACGCCACACTACAGCAAGACAAGGAACTAAACACTCTCAACTGCTCAATTGGCATTGTTGGTCAAGGCCAAAAGTTCGAAATGATCCAAGATGTGGATCTGCAACGTTACTTGGACATGCTTGGTCCACAGGGAACTGGAGATCAAGCTGCTGCTAGTCAAGGGGAGGCTCCTATGGATACTGAATAAATTATTTTATTTTACTTCAATCAAGTTACGCTTTAATTTATTCTCACTCTCTTTTAGATTTTTGTGATTGTATCTTTTCGAGATATTGCTATATTTTTTGTGTGTGCTATTAAAAAGATCTTGAAAGTGATAAAGCACGTGATTAGATGATATATTAATATGTTAGATATGTTTATATGAAAAATGCATGTTCAAAAACATTAATGCTGGTTGACATTGTAAACTTGTTAAAAAAAATTCTTTTCCCAGATGATGCAAAGATAGGGTTCTGTGGTGTAATGGTTAGCACCCAGGACTTTGAATCCTGTAATCCGAGTTCGATTCTCGGCAGAACCTCTGGGCAGTTATTATCAATTTAAAAATTATGATATTTTTTTTTAAAATGTATGCATATTGCGCATCTTTATCGGAACACACCAAAAAACCTGCCATAATGAATTTGTTCTATTAAATGTTGCACGACGTTCAATCGAGTATATAAGTATATATCTCGCTTTTGTGAAGTCGAGTGTCAAAACTTCGCTTATAATATTTTTTTAACTAATGAATGATAGAATGAGATCATTTTGATTAATATCTGGTTTTTCGTTTACGATCAGTTTGTAGAGCGATGCGCGAAACCTGTTAATATTATTAGAATAGAGCTCGAAATAGAAAGTGGTTGCATGCGCATTCAGATGAAAAAAAAAAAGGAGCGGGAAATCGGCAAGAGAAACAGCAAGAAGAATAAAGAAACCTTTCTCAGGACCACAAAAAACATCGGCCAACTAGCAATTGGAAAAGAATGCAGGATAGAATGAATAACTTCTACATGCAATTAATGCATGATGAATGTCTGTTCGGTAATAGTGTTCAATAGATAATTTAAATTTTACACGAGGATTACACGCATTCCCAACGTGGCGCTCACTAATTTTTTAAGCTTTGTTTCACATGTGTATCTTTGGATTGATCCTCGTTTAATTGTTATTGAATTTCGCTTAGTTCGGCGAAAGAGAGATGCCGCCCTTTATTTGCTATTAAGTTGAATAAATAATAGTAAAACAATATACTAATATTATTATTATTTATTATTAGCGTTAGTAGGTAGTTAAATACGGTATTTAATTAATCTGTCATCACCTTTAGTATTAATAATATTAATAAATTGTTTCATTTATGTTTAGAGCTGCTGCTTTCCACGTTACTGGCGTCAAAACTATCGAGAATAAAGTTCGCGTTTCTTATAAAGGCAATAAATTCACAAATATCTCACCAGATTTTTTCTCACACTTTGACTTTTTCGCGCTCTTTTCCCAACCAAACCATCATCATAATCATTGCCATCATCAATCAATTATCATCAAAAATCACACACACAACACATGTAAAAACCACCTTCTTATTTTTTAGTCAAGAGATTTTATCGTATTCAACCAATCATAACGAATGAGATTCGATAAACAAAGATCAAACATAATTTACATAAAAAATCGATTTCCCCGTATTATATATTGTTAAACTTTGGTTAAAAAAAAACTCGTTCTCGTTGCCTCCATTTGCTCGTGTTCGACAGGCTAAAAAATGGCTGACTCACGATTTTTCAAAGAGAAGTACTTTAGGCTACGAGAAAAGTTTGACACCCTTAACAAGGTGAATTTTACACGTTATATACCTTGAGAAAAACGCGTATAACTCTGTTTTCTATCTCTGACTAAATTTTCTCAAATGTTAACTAGCAACGTGATGAATTAAAACACAATTTAGACCTTACAAAACATAAAATGCGTAAGCTAAAGGAGGAAAACAAGTAAGTAGAATCTACCTTGAGAATTCTATTACAAGATCTCCGAGAAAACTAATCAATTAATTAATTCGAAACGCGTGCGCATTCGACAAATTAACGGATCCTTTCTCCAGTCATCTTCTTGACATAATGATGGATATGAATCCCACACTCGCCGATGATTTATCAAAGTACGGCCACCATCATGGATAATATTTGCGTGCGTTAAATTTCAATATCGCGTGGATCCATTTCACCTCACATCGCTGATTTGTTCACTTTTATTTTAACACACAATAATAGTAGCTCTTCTTCCGAGGAAGGTGTGCTATCTGATGTAACTAGTGATGACGATGAATCTAGTCTTAAGGCTACGGGTAGCCGATATGGTGCTTATTTTTTGTGTTGTCTAGTAGATTATATTTTTTTGATATCCTTTTTTCTAGTTAACTAATTCTCTATAGTTTCACTAGAACCATCCCCCAAGTCTATACCACGAAATAATAACAATAACAATAACAATAATAATAGTAATAATAACAATAACAATAATAATGATAACAACACTAACACCAACAATAATAATAGTAAACAAACATCTCCCAGAAAAAGCCGTTCTCCCCCGCAACATTCAAGCTCACGGAATTCATCAAAACGCAAAGTAAATGCTTGTTACACAATTAATTCATCATTTTCTTTTAAGTATAATATTTTACAAAGTATTGAATTTGTTAGGCTGATGAAGCCCTAAATGCTGAAGATCCATCGCCAAAAAAGCGTAAAGCAAGAACGCCAACTGCACCAAGCTTGGTAATGATTTACTACCGGTGTTGGCAATTCGACATATTAAACTACGCCACATTTTTAATTGGACACAAGTTCCCAACACTGTTTATCACATTGAGATTCGCTTTTCTTCCATAATATTGATATGTTATTAATACAGTTAATACCTTTATTATTTTAATGATAGAAAAAAAAACGAGATGATCGCACGGACGCTAAGCGAGTTGAGGTACGCGTTTTATGTATTTTTCTTGAATTGATTTTTTAATCCAATTTAATTTATTTATGTATAATGTAATTAAATTATTTATTATTCAGCATTTACCCATGAATTTAGACGGGACTCTTAAATTACCCGTCACTATCGGCAAAGGAACTAACGAAGTGACTATATTCAGAATTGGTCAGTAAATAGAAAAACAAAGTTATTTACAAATTCAAAAGTTAACTGAGAATTCATACTTTACGATAAACAGGTCATATCGTTTGGGATCGCGAAGCGTATCATACAAATCGCTATATCTTCCCGGTAGGTTTTATGAGTAAAAAACAATACCTAAGTGCTGTAGATGTAACAAGAAGAACAACATACACTAGTGAAATTTTGGATGGGGGTGATAATCCTATTGTAAGTAATAAATCTATTATATATTACTGATACCTATATTAAGAGTCGTAATCAATTGATTTTCCTAAATAGTTTCAGGTAACTGCTGAAGATCAACCGGGTAGAAAATTCGTGGCTAGTTCATCGAGTGGTGTGTGGAAAAAGATTTTGGACGAAATTAATGTTCAGGGTGTTCCATCAAAAACTCATGCCAGTGGACCTGAAATGTTAGGATTGAGTCATTTGGGAATTACTAAATATATCCAGGTATATTGACCGTTCCAATTTTCTCTTGATTAATTATTTGTAAATGGGAAATTAAGTCGCTGCGAATAAAAATCTAGGAACTTCTTGGAGCCGAGAAATGCACAAAATACGTTATGCAACGTTGGCTCGATGATGATGCTCCATCAAGGTTTCATCCAAAGGCCCTAATTAAACAAGAAAGTCTCGACGATGACGAAGAATCTATAATGACCAATGGAAATGATTATGGTAGCGTGGACGGAAGTGAGGCGCAAATAAAACAAGAAAGCATTGTCTCATGAAAGAGACAGGCAGGAATAGTAATCTGTTCATGTGTTGATCTTTTTATCTTTATTGGTTTATTCACGGAATTGTAATATTTGTTACGATTACCGTTTTCAGTATTGTATTTTTATTCTAATTGATTACCTTGGAATTACACAACTTTCATCCTTACTAACTAACTATAAATATTTTTGTTCTGCATTACCTTAATCATTGTTAACTGTTATCATGATTATTCATTGTAATACTCCATCATCGTGTAAATAGAAATTATTGAACCTATGATTATTTTAATTTGAATTATCTCATTAGTTAGGACTTTGATATAGATTATATATGTTATATTATGCAATTAAAAACCTTTAGTACTTTCAAGAAAAATCTTAAATTTGAATATAAAATTGAGAAATCATTAATTAATATTTGCGAGATAAGTAAATAACAAACAATACATATTAATCATATCAATATAATTATTTATAAATTAAAAAGAAAATTTTCAATTCTATAAAAATGGTTTTATAATTAGCTGTAATTATAAATAATTAAGCATTGAATAAAAGAAAAAATTATCGTATGAAATTTATTAAGAAAAAAATTTTTAGCTTACAAATGGAATGTTCCTTGTTTTGCTTACTTATATAAAATAGAAGTAAAAATAACGGAAAACAGATGCTTAAATCTATCTTGGTATACACCGATACTAATAAAAAAATGTCGGTGAGGCAATTTTATATAATCTTGATCTCAACTCTAGCCCTGACCCTGACCCTGACCCTAAGCTTAAAATTAATCTTTAATTATATAGTCGCATATCACGTGATGTACCTGGCTTTAGCCATCCCCTGTGCGTGGTTGTGATATGTGTGCTGGCAACTATTAAAGGTTGATTTTATCGTTTGGGTTAGGGTAAGGGTTAGAGTGAAGAACAAAGTGATATGTAAAATTTCCTCCCGACATTTTTATAGTTAGATTTAGACATCTGTTTCCCCGTATTTTATCGTTATCGTTATATCGAACACACCATTTTTATATAAGGAAATGATCAACTTAAAATTCGGAATGATCAACGAATTTTGATGTCGTGTCTGTAATTGATTAACATTCATTTTCCTGCCAAAGGGGCAAAAATGGCTAAACGAGGTGTAAATGAAGATTGGGGAAGAATCTACCCAAATGATTTTCGAAATGGAAAAAAGGACAGTCTTAGGGAAATGGAAGGTATGCTTGTCAAAACCTGTATTATTAGTTTCGCTCCAAAACACATTGTCATATCGCTTTATTTGCGTTTTTCATTAGCTGCTATGCAGCAAATAAATCAACAATGGGAGTTCATGATGTCAGACGATGTAAGTACTTATCTTGTATTAGACACTTTTTTGCCTCGTTACATTTGAGTTTTACTTGTTACTGACGAGTATAACTATTTTCAATAGTTTAATTCTGTACAGCTTGCGTTAAGCTTGTTGGACGCTAGTTCTCTTGGACGTGGCCATGACATTGCCGAATTTAGTCGCACTATGGATAGTTTGAACAGAGCTCTTCAGTATATCGTTAATGGCAAGCAATTACTTTATATTTTTCATTTTGATTGGATGATTCCTAATACTTTGAATTATCACATATTTTCAGATTATTATCAAGGATTTAACAGTTCAATTGGAACTTTTGGAGGTGTAATGCAGAATATTGGAGGTAAATAATTACTTGATTGAATGCTTTTTTCTACGTACAGTTTTATATTAATTTATAATTTGTTTAATTTTTATAGATTCACAGGATCGTGTGCGTGAAATCAAAAGTCAATTAAAAGAATGTAAGCAAGCATTATTGTCAAAACGTGCCGATTTATTACAATTATGGTTTCGAAGTCAACAGTATAAGGAAATGTTACGAATTTTGGACTCGATGTATGTAATAGCATTTAATTTCACGTGTCAATAATCTAGCGCCTGTGATTCGTTTTGAATTCCTATCTCTGTTTAACTGATGCAGAGAAGATATCCAAGGAACACACCAGAAATTGGAAGGCTTGCTTCGAGAAAAACATTTTCTGACAGCGTCAAAAATCTTATTAGACGCTATTCGGATTATGGATCGCAAGGAAATGATGGGAATTGGTGCATTGCATGATTTACGACGATATCTCAAAGCACAACAAACTGTAAGATTATATAATTGTTTAATATTTTATCCGTGATATATATATATATATATACTAATTTATAAAATTTTTCAGTCACTTCATGAAGTATTGATTGAGGAGTTGCATAATCATTTATATTTAAAGAGTCCTTATTGTGCTAGTCGATGGTTCCGATATACAAAAGATCAAAATTCATGTAAGAGTTTTTCATTTATTTTTGATTATGTTTTCGTATAGTTTTGCATACAACGCGTCACGTCGTCTTAATATTATTCGGAGATAACATGTAAATACCGGTATGTTTATTTGTTACAAAAAATTTATCATTTGGCCGAGTAGTGGACTTGCAAATGATAGTTTTCAAATTTGGGTAAAAGTAACAAATAGCATTCACTTGGTTATTTGGGTTCATTAAGGGTTTCACCAAAAATGTACCGGAAGATTGAGCATCCATATGGAGACGCAATTTTCAAACCATTTCTTGATAGAATTATATTTATTTCTTTTTGCTGTCACATAACTGAGGAAATGAGACAGAGGCTAAAATATATTTTTCTGGGGCACTGTCTTTGATAATCATCAATAGCAGATAATATATTTTTACGCATGAGATTGAATACAATATAATTCACCATCAGGAAATGGACGCTTATTTTAGTTAGTCAGTCTTACGATTAAGTCTATAAAGTGATAAAATGCCTCTTATCATCTATATGGAAGGTTTATAGATTACAAATGATTTGAATGTACATTTTTTATAATTGTTTTTTTGTATGCAATGCTATACGATGCTTTGACGTGTTCATGCTACGAAATCATATTTATGCAAACTGTTCCTAGTTGCGAAATCTTTGCTTCAATTCTATCCTATAATTTGTCCGGTGTAAACAGTACCCACTCCCGCAACCGATTGGAGTTCAGAGAAGGAATCGCGTAAAAACTCGACTGGTCTTAGCGCGAAAAATAAGAAAAATTTATCTGGTAAGGACTAAAAAAGATAAGTTGCTATGTGGCATCAACTATAATATTATGAACCTTGGCTCAAATTATCTAATTGATCATTTAGTTAATATTTTGGCCACTGCTGCGGCTCCTCATAGTCCAAAATCGCCAATGCCATCGCCATCGCCAAAACCATTGAATATTTCACCAAAGCTTCAGCCACATGTTATCTTTATTGATGACGATGAAATGGTGAAATTCAAAATGAGAATTTAATTATTTTTGATAACCACACTCATTTACCATTTTATTCGAACTTCTATTAGATCACTGAAGATTTAGATAGAAATCCGGAATCAGACTCATTTTACTATATTGAAATTATAATAGAGTCTTTGGCATTGTTGGGATTATTACCAGAAGCAATGGAGGTGCGTGAATTTGCTTTTCTTAAATTTTATGCTTAAACGAAAAGGATTAACGTATGGTTTTTACAATTTTGTTTGGTAGATGATAACTCAGAGACTTCCTCTTGAGCTTTATCAACTAGTCGATAAAACAGTTGCTGAAGTAGAAGAGCGGTATAATTCTAATTTTATTAATTAATAGCTTTTTCTTGAATTTCTTTCTCATCGACTTAATTGATCGACAATAGGAGAACAGTGCATGTGTTCGCCAGTCGAAATACAAAGAAAAATGATCTCATGAACATTTATTTACTCGAATCACCCGAAAACGAGGTACAGATGGAAATCCTACGTGATCTAATGTGGACACTTTACTCTAAGCTTGATGCAGTGCTTCAGGGACATCGTTTTATTCTGGATGTGGTAGAGCGGATAAGTAAGGTTAGTACTAATTATCTTGATTATTTGATGATTTATTCTGAATTTTTATTTATTTTTAAAAATAGAGACCAATGTATGCAAAGATAACTGATGGTAAGACTTGTGCAAGACCACAAGAAGATTTTATAAAGTTTACTAACAAATATATTGATTTTTTAGAGAAGAAAAAGATTAAGGCTTACCCTTTTATCGATATTTGGAAACCAGTTCAGAGCGAAGTAATTGTCACGTTCTTGATAGATTTCGTTTTTTATTCAATTATTTATTCCAGTATCTTTTCTAGCTGCGCACTCTATTACGCGATTATATTACCGATGATGAGAGAGACTCGGCATCTTTTACAACACCTGTTGCGACCATTAATGATATGATGCGGGATCGAAGAGGAAGGGATAGGACAAAGGTAACTCCAAATCTAAAACTCACATAATACTTTTATTAAGCAGTAAATAACGTGTGAATCAATTTTCTTTAGCAAATATTTAAATTTTCAGACATTGACGCGACTTCAAATATTGAATTGGATGATCAATACGAGTCAGATATTAACAGCATGTTACAGAAATCATTACCAAATTTATTTGCTAAATTACCTGATGAAAAACCACCTACCTCTGTCTTGGTAGTAGACAAATTCGCCAATACAAACATTTCAGTTGGTCATCGACTAGTTGTACGACCTGACGCGTTTAACGTGTCGGTGCTGTTTAAGCCCACCTTGATCTTCTTGGATAAAGTTAGGGAGATTGTACCCTCGTCAAAGTATATATATATATATATAAAATGACTATAATTTACAAGCAAACTTTAATTTTAATTCTATTGTTAATTTTATGCAGTACCACTACCGTGGACTTTTCTGGATTTCTTGACGATTTTGTATTCAATGTATTCTTACCGCAAATTGAAGACAAAGTTATGGAATTATTACATCAAGCAACAAATGGCGAGTGCAGATATTCTTGAATTACGTAAATATAACGATTGTTAAATGGAAATATTAATCTTTCTTTTCACTATTTGTAAAATAGATACGGATGCATTTCAGGAAGATCCAAACCATAAAAGATTTACAACCTTGCCGTTAATTAAGGTCTTTTTGTTTGAGTTAATTGGTAGAAAGTATAAATTCGTTATTAAACATGATTCTCTTTATAATTAGAGTGCAACTACATTAATGAAGTTGGTGGAAAGCTTATGTGCAATGCTTCGCACAATGACTTTCCACAAAGAAGAATATAGTAGAATGATTATTTCTGTGTTAACGCAATATTACGTTAAATGCTTTGAACAATATCAAGGTATTGGAATTACTTTTTTTGGGCTTCGCCTCGCGATTTTTTCGTATTCAGATCGTAACATTTTTTTTCAACTACATATAGCTGTTGTGTCAAAGGGGTCTTTGAGCGACGAGGGTGCTCATGAAAGAACAGGAAATGCACAAAAAACTAGTGCGATGTGGGTACAACAGGACCAACTTTCCGAAATATTTACGCAGTATCCTTATTTAGATGAGAATGACACTGAAAATCGTAAAAAGCGAAAATTATTGTGTGAAAAGGTACGGTTAGATTAAATTGTGAGTCTACTACTTTTTATTTATTTTATTTTATTTTATTTTATTATTTAATAAACAACAGGAAACTCAGGCTGAATTGAAATTGAAAAAGAATCGCGTAATTAGATCTGGTGAATTGATTTTTGATGGAAGGAAATTAAAAGGATTAGGCCATCTTTATCATAGTTTGGTAATTAAACTTTGTTTTACTTTTGAAACTATTAAATATATTTATGTAATACTTGTAATCTTTTATTTTATTAGAAATGGTTTGTAGGTAAGATCTGGCAGCTACGTGGGCGTGATTCTAAGGTGGCGGGTTTGATGAATGGAAAAATGGATGATGGACTTTTGGTAATTATTTTTACGCGATTGGTATAATATAAAAATATGCGTGATGTTAAAATGTTTATGCTCTTAGGCCAAGGTGAATCGTCGCTGGTCCTCGTATGAGGATATACCAAAGTCTAATCGTCTAGATGATGAAGCAAGATTACCGTTAACAGGAGAGATGGCAAAGTAAGTTCTCTTTTGATTATGGACTTAGAAAAATATGCAAATGAAAATTATTTATTTATGTGGGTGTTTTTTAGTCGGTTTGACGCGCTTTTGGCAACTTTCCAACAATTAGCTGAGCAATGCTTATTTACATTACGCGTCGAACTTCGATGTCATACACTTCATTACATAGACATGGCAATGCGAGAGGTATCAAATCGAGTATAATTCAATGTATTTTTTGAGTTCAATTTAGAGATTATATCAATATTTGAATTACATTAGGGTAATTACCAACTTCAAGAAGAAGCATCCGAGCCAGACCCCTTCGTTCTTATGCTTAATTCAGATTTAGTACATTTTGATGAGTGTATCACATCTAGCTTACCGATAAGAGAGCATAAGTAAAGATCATTCGATTTATTATTTTCTTTATACTAACATTTTATGACTAACTACAGCATGCATGCTGATGTCATCTGAAATTATTTCTTTATATAGATTTGTGTTCGAAGGTCTAGATTCTCTAATGGAGCATATCCTTGTCTCGAATGCCACCTATATAAAAAGTCTGAACTTCAGCGGAGTCACAAAGATTAAGCGTAACATCCTAGCTTTACAACAAAATCTACGAAATATCGTAGATACTCCAAATCAAGTTTCGTTGGATCGTTCACAGCAATACTACGAATTACATAGAGTTGGTGCTGCGGTAATTATAATCAAAACACTCCATTTTCGTTATTTGATTTCTATTACTAACAATTGTTGTGTTACAGAATATGCTCAATCTAATTCGCGAAAAAGGTGCTGTGTTCTCCTTTGAAGAATATAAAACAATGCTAGAGATTATTTATGGAATAGAGAGCGGACAACAAAAACATTCTTCTGCTGCGCGTCATGAAAGTCCGTCTCAGTCCAGAAGAATGTTTAATGAACATTTGATAGAATTAAATGAGCTTATGCTGGATTTTCTGTAAATTATAATATTATTTGATAGAATATTAAAAAAATAGACTATTAATTATTTAATTGGTTATTTTAATTTTGGTATTGTACTTGGAAATTTGAGTCTTATGTACTTTATATATAAAAAAATTTATTTCATTTGTTTCTGGAACCTGAATATGATCGGCAGTGAAATCACATACACGTACTGAATTTCGTCGATCTCGACACAACAACCAATAAGGATGCGTAAATAAAGATGGGAAATTTTTGACACGGGAAACAGACGCCTAAATCTAGCTATCAAAAATGTCGGGAGGCAACTTTACGTTTACATATAACCTTGATCACTGACCCTTATCCTAGAAATCAACCATTAACATTACAATAGAATTTTCCTGGCACAGATTCAGGATGTGCAAATCACATACCCCGGATAGAGTGTCCAGCTACTACATTTTTGCGCAGTACAACATCAATGGATTATATTCACAAATTGTAATTTTTATTTACTTCTTAAATGGACACTACTTGATTTGTACCCTCCCTGGCAAGGCTGTCTTTTAGACAAGATTTTGAAAATTGTGAGTTTTAGACAAGTTGTCTAAAAATATAAAGGAAGAAAGTAATACAAAATCTAAAGCTTTCAATATCTTTATTTAATTGATATAAGGATCCACAATAAACTAAGATTTTGCATATTCTTATCTCAAATATTTTTTCTCACGCTGTCTAATTGTCTAAAAGACAGCCTTACTCCCCGATACATTTTATTGTAATTCTGATTGAAACTATCATTTCTATGTAAAATATACTTGATGTACGTAATATGAAATAACGGTACAAGGTTACACACTAATGTCATCATAGATAAGTATGAAATTTAATCCGTGAATATGATCAAGAAAGGCTTATTCTATATTAAATTTTATATTTACTCATTGAACTTATTTATTGATGTGTAGAGGAACTTTATTCATTTTATTGATATCCGGTTAAAGCCTATCGCTATTGATTTTTTCACAATACACCACGTGTTATTTCAGGATAAATTGAACAACATAAATGCCGTCACGTTTATGAATTGCCTAACTTTTCGTATCTTATTGAATTTATTTTGCTAATTTTACACCCAAATTCAGGTAAGTTACGTTGCATAAAATTCAGAGTTTAAGTTTATGATAACTTTCGCATAAAATTCTATGTATTTTATTGAATTATGCCAAAATTTTGTTGAATTTATTAGAAGTCCGGTGTATGTTGATGAATTCTCATTTTGTATGCTGACAGCATTTTATTATAACGATAATTCTAAAATTCAATGTTAGACATTTCTTAATTTAGTTGGCATTAAGAATGCGACATGCAAGCAGATAAGATGATGTAATTTATCGGACTCAGGATGTTATTTCCATTTTCACCATTATTATCATGAAAATTATTTAAGTTTATTTCCGAGCTTCGTGGTTTGTGCTTATCCTTTTAAATCTCGTCAATATTATATAACGGCATATTATTATTTATGTATTTATTACCTCATTGTTGTTGTCGTATTTGTCGTAATCTGCTACTCCTTCTGCCGGTACTGCAGTCTATCAACTAGTTCAGTATCGATGATGACTAGTTTTAGGAAAGGAAAAGCGAGAGCCGAAGCTGATTATTAATAACGATAATATTCGAAAAGAATATCTCACAAAAAAACACACTTTATAACAATATTCGAAAAGAATATCTGTCACAAAACACGTGGTTCTAAAAAAAGAAAAATCGACATCGCTGTATAAGATATGGCAATCAAATATTACAATGTATAAATGTATAATTAAACAAAGCTTTTTTTTTCTCTTTATAAATTGAATCCATATAAATCGAATTTTTTTGGTTTTGTTTATTTCTTTTTCAATTGCTTTATTGTTTCGAATATAATTTAAACTTTGAAGAAAAGACATGATTTGAAGTATGTATGCTATTACGTTTAATAGCATACTATTGATCTTTACATAATATTTAAGTATGCTATTACATTTTTACATAGCATTAATATTAAAGTATGCTATGCTTTTAAATTTAATTAGATAATACATGATATCATCATGAATTCGATATTAAATAACGCATATACACGCACAAAATTAATTGGTAAAAAAAGAAACTGTTAAGAAAATGGGGGAGATTCTCTCTCTATCATATCAATGGTGTCTTTCAATAATATCCTTCCATTAATCGAAATAATATTAAAAAAAACATATTATTACCGATCGATTGATTATTCTACCATTAAGGTGGGTTTTGCTATTGTTTATTTTTACATGTGGCAGAACAAGAACGACAGCAGTCAATTGAAACAATTTTTTGTGCATTCTTTTGATTTCGCACAGCAGCATTGACATTAACCAAAATTACCGCAAGAGGATGATTATATTGATATTGAGATTGATGATGACGAAAACACTTGAACAATGGAAAGGGATTATCTGATAATATGAAAGAAAATAGTAAATGAAATTTGGGAGATATGTATTTATTAATTTTAATTTATTTTTTTAATTTAATTTAATTACAATAATGTTACTGTAATTACAATAAAAAAAATGTCAAACAAAAAAACGCAAGAGAATATTTGGTGATGTTGTTTGATGCACTAACACGCAGCCAATTTGCATCTTCTTCATGTGATTTTTATGCAAGTAGGATAATAGAACCACCTTTAAAACGTACACTCACACGAAAATAACTTGAACCATTACACACACTTTCTTTCGCTTGTGTATGTGTGTGTGTTTATGCGAAAGATAAAAAATTTTTTTGACAGCAATCGCAGATTAGCAAGCAGAATGAAGACTTTTTTTATTTATTATATTTTATTATTCATCTAACTATTTTTTATCGTCAATTTAAAGTTTCACGTCAATAAATAATATTTTGACCGTATATTTCATTTTAACACATAGTAAAAGTGCTACTAAGACAAGATTGTGAGAAAAAAAATTATCGTTTGCTATCGACATGTCATTTAGCCATTTAGTTTAATGTTATACCATAACGATAATGACGAAGAACACCAACATTTAAGATATAGACAGTGAAAGAGGGACTCTTGCCCCTTTTTTCTTTTCTTTTTTTTCTTAATACTACTGCTTTTTAATATTACCGCTTTTATATAATCACTACTGCAAAATATAAAAGTACACATAAAAAATTTTACATTATCATTATGCTCAATAATCAGTAATAATTATAAATAATCAATAATATCAAAATGTGGCGGCGAACCAAAAAGCAGACAGACGAAACAAGCAAGATAATGTACACTCTGTTGGAATGTCACCGAATATCTCATGCTTTTTGACACTTGACTTGATTATTTATTTTTTATCTTTTACTCTCTTATTATTATTAAATATATAAATATATTTAAAGTATTATTAATAATAAAAATTTTTGCTATCATCACAACGAATCGAGGCAAGAGTATAAATATACCAGATTCTTATCAAAAATGTTTTCTCTTGTCTTTTGCCTGCAACCAAAAATTCCCATTAAAATCCCATTTCGCGCGTCTCTTATATCATCATCGTCATCTTCATCTATACTCACTTTTTTCTTCTCCTTCCCCTCCTAAGTTTCCCCTCTTTCCGTTTCGGAATCTACACCTCCCTCTCTCCCGACCGGGACCAGGGTTAAAGGCCATATCAAGGCCATATCAAGAATAAAAACAATAATTCAAGCAAAGATTGACATAACTTTTCTAATCAATAATAGCGATATAGTAATAATGACAAGTCTTCAAGATATTTTGGCGGAACAAGAACCACTACCACTTGAAGAGGAAGAAATCTCAGCCTCTCAGCAACCAAATTCGAGGCCATATCAATGTAAATCATGTCTCAAAAGATTTCATAGATCGGAACATTTAACCCGTCATATAAGAACACATACTGGCGAAAAACCGCATGAATGCCAATGGGAAGGATGTGATAGAAAATTTTCACGTACAGATGAATTAAAGCGACATCGCTTAACCCATGAGAGACAAGTAAAAAGAAGAGAAAACAGTCGACGAGGAAAAACGTTATTCAGAAATACTACGACGCTCTTTATGCAGAATTCACATTTAACGCCATATCACGTGATCACTTACATTTTCACCGAATCATCTTCGGGAATTAAACAATGTCCTTCGAATGGTTGCACAAGAACTTTTACGCGATCTGGTAATTTGACCAACCATATGGAAAAATGTCCCTTTCGAAAACTAAACAATAATGCCGCGATACGCGCTGCAGATGTATTAGATGAAAATAATATGTTTGACCCACCTTTAAGTCCAGTTTCCACTTGTTCTTCTGAAGATTACACAGCATCTTATTCTGTTCATAGTGGTGCAAATTCTGATTCTGAAGAACACGGTTCCCCGATTTTGCGCGGCTACTCTTCTATTACTCCTTTTGATCAGAATCAATTCTTTGATTCTTCTCATTCTGATGCTGCTGTTATATCAAATTACGGCGATAATAACTATCAAAATAATCTTTATCATCATTATCAACAACATGACATTGAATATCATAGTATTCAACAATTACAACAACAGCATTCTCAAGATCAAATACTCGATCGTCCCGCTCCAATAGAATGTAAGCACATGTACTTTCCTGTTTCTCCCACATCAACTACAACGCCTTGAAGTTACATGATATCATTGATTCTGCGGATCGTACTTTACTACTGAATAAAAATAATAATAATAATAATAATGCTGATATTTTCTTCATTTGGTTTATGGTAAATGACAACCTAATGTTCCTCCCACTGTCTTTCTCTCTCTCTCTCTCTTTTTTCCTCTCGCGCGTCATTGTTTTATTATTTCTCTCTTTTTCTTCTTCTTTTCTCTCCCACATTCATTTATTATTTATTATATTTTGATATTCCCCTTATCATGTGTTTATTCAGTTCTTTATTTTTTCGCTGATTTAAATCGTAAGCATGCCAAAAAATCTCGTTTTCGCGAGTAATAATTGTAAATACGCGTTTTTCTTCTGAATTAATTTTTTATTTTCTCGTTTTTATCCTATGTTATCAAAAAAGAAACTTTACGTTACGATACGTTTTCTTTATGTCAAAGAAAATGATCGACACAATATGTGTGTTTTTGACCTTGATTTTACTACTAAAAAAGCGCGAATCACCTACAGCATTAAGTTAGTTTAATCACCACCTTGCTTATTATTGCAACGTTTTCTTCGATTAATTTTATCATATTGTATTTTTTACTATTATAAAATCTTTACATAAAAATATATGAATAACTTCGATCCGGATCCCTTTTTTAATATTCTTATAAATAAAAATAACTAAGTCAAATAAATGTCACCAAAAAAATTGCATTTTTTCAACTGAAACAAGAATACACAGTATACTACTAAGTATACAATGACGACAATATAAAAACTGTCAAAGACGCGTGGGTTAAAGTTAAGCGTCAACAAATTTTTGGGATCGGTGTTGTGTTTGTGTGAGTGATGATGTAACGTGTTTTGGAATGGCATAAAATTTGACAGGCTGCAACTTTAACAATAGTCGGAATTATTAATGATCACTGGTTAACGTTAATATTCTTTCTTATGGCAGAATTAGGCAAGGAGAGACAAGATAAAAACCGGTCAAAGAAAATCGAAGTACACGCGTAACTGAATCTTGAAATTAAAATAACGTAAATAAAATATCAATTGATAACCTAATTGTTTTAAATTGTTTTAGGGATTAATAAATGAATGTGGGAAAAGCTGTCAAAATTTTGAAATAATGGTAATACGGTAATACAATAATACAATACAATACAATACAAAAAATATGAAATACAATATAGCAAATATTCTAATAAATATGTAATATATGCGCACTCATTCATGAATTTTGGGTCTATTTCGCGTCTGCTAAGAATTAACCTGTATGCGTTTTGTGAGATTGTGTGTATTTGTGACTCGAAACTTTAATAAAATCCATTTGACAGCAACAACAACAACAACAACAATGGATTACCAGCGGACATTAATGACTATATTGTTGTTAGCTATGGTTATTACTATTAAAATCATATCTCGTTAATTATGCTTTGAATGGAAAGCCGTGGGTCTGTTCGAAGAATCAGCGACATGCTTTATTATTTAAGAATTGTTATTGAGCTTCTTCTTCCTTCTCCTCTATCTTTTTCCCTTGTCTTTAATTGTGTGGCATTTTTACGAAAAAATTTTTTGTGTTATCATCATTGTTTTGCGCATAACATAGCATATACTTGCTTGGGCATCTTATACAGATTAAGAATCAACTCAATTTGTTCTGCACTTTGAATAACAGTAAAAGTAGTATACATAAAAATATATTACATGTATCTCCTATTACGATATGCTATTATTGAATATAAAAAGAATAAGCGACGACACGGGATACTATCGTAGAAGCCAACATCCTTTTTTTCTCATGCCGTGAAACCGCATGGATTGTGTATGCACAAACGTTACTTTCTTTGGATTTATTCATATGGAAAAGCATCGAGAGCTTTCATTGTTAAAAACAATCACGAGTTGTTTATTTTATATTTATTCATAATTATATAGGGCGGTTGACAGATTGTAATGGTTGACATGTACATAATTATTGTAATATTGATAATGTAAATTGATCATTCTCTCTTGACAGTTTGTCAGGATTTAGATGGAAAGCGAGCATAGATATTTGACATAAGATTCGTTAAGACATATTAGGAATCAATATTATGCAATATGCGCTTATAACAGAATCGAAATTTTTAATTAAATCGGTTTTTGTGACATGATTGAAAAAAATCTGTTTTAGAAAAAGATCGAGATAAAAAATGTGCATAGGCTTAAAATATTCTTGGCCTTTAAGGGTACAGCTGGATTAAAAAAAATTCAACCACGCATTAATTCGAGAAAATATAACTCTGAATTTTCAATTTAACATAACTCGATAAATTTCGCGCAGTTTCAAAAATTAGCTAGAAAATTGACCGATTTTAACAAATTTTAACATGTTTCAAATTTTATTGAAATTCAATGAGAGTTTGTGAATTTTAGGCAAATTTCAATAAGTTACTGATGATTTTGGCGAAAGTTAATATGGACGGGCAAAGAAACTTATTAAATTTAGTATTCGCAAATGCTGACGAAAGACCGAATTTCTGTATTTCAGCGAGTCAAAACTTGGGCACAAGGTCAATATATGAATGCACACAATCAACTTTAACGTCACTCGGGGTCGTCACCCTAATTATAAAGCCAGCGTTAACTAACCGTTATTGTGATCAAGAATGATAATGCTGGCTAATAAATATTATGTTCTTTACTCCGAATTTTTAATCGGTATATCGATAGACATTAAATCTCTAGCACAAACCACTTGATCACTTTCAAATGTACGGACCGCAGCTTGACGAATCTCTTCCATGATTTGAACATGCTCTTCGATTTCACCACCTTTATATCGATGACTGAAGTGGGTTAACACTAGTTTTTTCGCTTCGACTCTATATGCAACAAGATAAAAAAAATTAGTAATCCAATTAAAAACGTAACAACTAAGAATTAATCATAGAAAAGACCTTTTTGCAAATGCACCGGCTTTATTAGCAGTTGAATGTCCATGAGATTTAGAGCGTTGCTCGATCTCCTCATAATTAGCAGATTTTCCATCTAAAGAAGTCAGAGCATTTGTACTTTCATGCACTAACAGATCGGCACCTTTTGCTAAATGTGCAATGCCTGTTGGATCGAATGTATCCCCGAGTATGACAATCTTTCGTCCAGGCTTTTTAGGTGGTGGTTTTAAGACAGTTCCATCGGGAAGTTCCAGAGTTTCTCCATTTTTCAGCTTCTTTATCAACTCCATTGGATTTTTAAAACCTAATGCTTCTCGATTACGCATCAATGGTGGCTTTACCTCGTTAATATCGATGTTACCGGGTAACGGCTTCTCGTGATAAACATAACCTAGACAAGGGATACTATGCTGGATTGGAGCCGCATAAACAGTACACGATTCATCATCAAATACAATCCATTGATTTTTGGCTTCGTCAATAACCAAATTTTCTCCCATTAACTCATTTTGATGCAACTTCTCGTTGGTATTACTGAGGGTGACTAATGAATCGATTGGGTCTTTGACAAATAAAAGTTCATGTACTCTGTACATACGGCCTAGATTTGAATAAGTTAAAGAGAAAATAGTACGCAGATAACGGCGTAGTCCAGATGGACCATAGATCTCTGCTGGAGGAGTATTTTCAATTCCTTCATGACCTACATCAAATTTGTTGTGTATTGTACACAATAACGGTGCCAACCCAAATACATGGTCCTGATGAAGTGAATATAGTTAATATCAGATATAATTGATCGACTGATTAAAGGATTTCCCTTACTCCATGCATGTGAGTTATAAAAATACGGTCAATCTTGCTCCATTTTATGTTTGTTTTCATGACTTGGTGCTGTGTTGCTTCACCCGTATCGAATAACCAGGTAGTACCGTCGATTATCAGGGCGATAGACGATGTATTCCGAGTTGCGGATGGTTGAGCAGAGGATGTGCCAAGAAATCGAAGTGAAATTGAAACTGCCATTGATTTAAAAAAAAAAATAGTAAATTTTGGTACAGATAAACGATTATTTATAATTTGTGTAATATGTGTAATATATATCGATATACTACGTGCAATGATCTCGTCGATACATTTATATTACTGTTGTTTTATGCATAAGTAAGGCAATCATTATATTCAAAGACGATACATATGTTTACAATCAGACTAAGATGTCACAACAAAATACAGAAATTCCAGAAAATCAAGCCAACGTATACTTTTGGTATCTAGTATTGTTTATATAATCTTGTACTAACTTTGTATTTACAATTAAGCTAATTACCAAACCAAAAATAATAAATAGTAGCAATGACTAAAATTTTTGATTAACTAATTATTAAATTCACAATTCCATTCGAGTATATCATTAAATATTTATTATATTTCGACATGCACCAAAAATTATAGTTATTTTTCTTCATTATTATATATTAATTATTATATTATCAAATCAAATCAAATATTGATAATGAGTCTTTAAAGTGGATTATTGTCTGTCGTTGTCGTTGCCGTGGCCGGTGATGGTGATAATGCTGGTGTAGGTGTCGGTGGCGGTGTTGATGGTGGTGGTGATGATGGTGGTGGTGATGATGGTGGTGGTGGTGATGATGACGAATTAGGTTCTTTGGGAGTTTCTTCCTTTTTCTGCGACGACTTTGGGTGCATGTATTCTTCGTAAAGATTCTTTTCTGGGAAAGGTCTCTTTCCCAGTATAGAAATCATATCTTCACGATTCAAAACTTCTTTTGATAATAAAAATTGCGCCACCTTTTCAACGTCGTTTTTACGATCGGTCAACAATTTTACAGTACGTTCATATGCCATTCGCACGTAATTTCTAACCTCTTCATCGATTATACGTGCCGTCTCTTCTGAATAAGGTTTTAAAAATTGAGATTCAGTATCACCTGGATTATTAAATGACAATGAGCCAACACGCGGATTCATTCCATATGTCGATACCTGAGCATATGCCATTTTTGTGACTTTTTGTAGATCATCTTGTGCACCAGTAGTGACAATTTTAAAGAAAATTTCTTCAGAAACTCGGCCTCCCAGTGTCATACACACGCGATCAAGTAGTTGAACTGTAGAGTATAAATATTGTTCTTTTGGTAGATATTGTGCATATCCAAGTGCACCGATTCCTCGCGGAATTATCGAAACTTTAAGTAATGGATCAGCATGCTCCAAGAACCAGCCAGCAACCGCGTGCCCTGCCTCGTGATACGCGACAGTTTTCTTTTCTTCAGGTGACAATAATCGTGATTTCTTTTCGAGACCGGCGATAACTCTTTCAATTGCTTGTTCAAAATGTTCCTCTCCAACCCAGTCTTTATGATATCTGGCTGCTATTAATGCTGCTTCATTACAGACATTAGCAATATCAGCTCCGGAAAATCCAGGTGTTAAAGCGGCCAATCTATTCGCCAAATTTTCAATATTTTCCTTTGTCTTGATTGGTCTAAGATGCACTTTAAATATTTCACTTCGTCCTTTTATATCCGGTCGATCTATCGCTATATGACGATCGAATCTACCAGGACGCAATAGTGCTGGATCAAGTACATCTGGACGATTAGTGCCTGCTAACACTACGACGTGCTCACTTGAACCAAAACCGTCCATTTCTACCAATAATTGATTAAGTGTACTTTCCCGTTCATCATTTCCACCAAATTGTCCATTTTTACCCCGCGATTTACCAATTGCATCAATTTCATCGACAAAAATTATGCAAGGTGCATGTTTTTTTGCATTGGCGAATAAGTCTCGAACACGTGAGGGACCAACACCAACAAACATCTCTACAAATTCAGATCCAGATACACTTAAGAAAGGAACTGCGGCTTCGCCAGCAGTTGCTTTGGCTAATAATGTTTTTCCGGTACCTGGAGGACCGCTCAAAATTGCTCCTTTAGGAATTTTCGCACCCAGTTTCTCATAAGCTGTTGGATCTTTTAAAAATTTAACAAATTCCATAATCTCTTCTTTTGCCTCGTCCATTCCTGCTACATCCTTAAATTTCACTTTGACGTCTGTTTCGTGATTATATAATCTTGCTTTTGATTTACCAATACCAAATATACCTTGAGACCCGGCAGCAGAACCTGCACGTCTAGTAATCCAAAAGAGAGCGCCAGCTAATAAAAGTGTAGGTGCGAAATGTAATAATGTATTCATAATGTTTATTTCATCATGATATGCTACTGGTATGCGTTCGGTGGATGGAATTCCCAGCTCTCTTTGAGCATCTTCCAATTTCCGTTCGAAAGCTTCTACAGAACCAATGCTAAAGTGATATTGTACACCCGATTGAACAGGTGGATTCGGATACATTTGTCCAGTGACATTAGAATGCAAGTAGACTTTAACTTTTTTTCTATTCACCACCACCAATTTGTCTACTAATCCTTTATCCAAAAACGCTGTTCGGAATTCTTGCCAAGTAATCTCGCGGGAATTATCTCCACCAGTAAACTTGTATAAAAGATATGCCGAAAACATTAACGGTATTAAAGTATTGACATTAATACTCATAGTCCAAGCATCTTTTGGGATTTGCTGCTTGGATTTATTTGATTTATCGTCATGTGGAGGACGTGAAATGTTCTCAGTTTCAGGATGTGATGACTTTCCGTTTTGGTTCTGATCATCTGAAGCAGCAGCGCTACTAGGTTTGCCTTTATTGAAGAAATTGTCAAAGCCTTTGGGAAATTTTTTTGATATAATCTGCTCGAGATCTTTCAGATTTTCATTTTCAATTTTTGTGCTATCCTTTTTTTGCTCTAGTGAGTCTTGATTCTTACTTTGTTGTTCGTTTTTTTCGCCATGTTTATGATGTTGGTTATTTTCGACTTCAGTAGCGTATAGTCTAGTAAATCTTGGTGATTTTCTCTGAGGTAGAATGCTACTGCGCGGAAGAAGATCAAGGTTCTTTGTAAAGTTATTATGACTAGTTGAAAAAGTACCTGAATATTCCCGTATTATAGAGCGAAAGGTAAAGGCTGTTCGACAATCGATTGCATTACCAGTGCGAAATAAAACAGCAGACATGATAAATTGATCGACGATCACTACCAACTGATAAACTGATAAATAAATCCAATCTTTATGTTTAAATCGATGAGTATTTAGAATGTCTTTCAAGAAACGCGTAGTGGTTTCTAGTTCTTCGTCAACTGGAAGTGGAAGCACCTTTGCATTTAAACCTGAACAAAAAATTCCTACTGGAATTCGTTTATCACCGTACAATGGACAATTACTGATTTCAACAGGAGTCCCGTCCTTAGATGATATCCTTTGTTTAGCAAATATTTAACATGTCTTTGGATATTTGTAATTTTCAACACATTTTTAAATATCATAAAGTACCAATAAATAAAATTTCTTTATTAAAATTATTAATTATGATGATTACAATAAATACAAAAAAAAATATATTCTTACTCGTGAAAGGCATCAATGATCCAGAGCTCTTTTAATCTTTGAGATCATAAAGTTAAAAAAGTTAGCACACAAATTGTATTTATTTCTATCGATGATAAGATCTTTAACATAAATCCCGACATAAACATATTTTAGGAGGTGGAATCCCACTCGGCTCGTTATTTCTGATTCTTGAGGATAGAAATACAAGTTATGCCAAATTATTGCTGAAGTATTTTATAGCGGAGGGTCTGGCTCATGAGAATAGAGTTTTAGTGGCGAGTGCTGATGAAAAACCACAGGCTCTTGTGAAAGGGTGTATGTGGATAAGTGGTAGTAATGATGGTGATGGTGATGGTGATGATAATGACAAGGACAATGTAAAGAAAAGTGATAATAATAATTATGGGATGAAGAAAGAAGTGGAGGATTATGATGAAGATGGTGAAGATGACGGAAGAGGAGAAGGTGAAGGTGATATGAAAATTGCATGGAGATATAAAGGATTGAAAAAACTTGGAGCTCAAGGTAATAGAATAATAATACATAATAATGGATTATAACAATTATATTTATTCATAAATGTTATCAATGCCCAATTTAGTTCCTGTTCCTCCTTCAATACAAAATAAAAAAATCAGCCTTGATAAATTATCATCATCTTCTTCAATAATAAATTCACAGCAAGATCAATTACCACAGCCATTTTGTCACACATTTGATTTGACTAAAAGAATATCCGAAAAGACTATAAATGCTGCATCATTATCGTTCATTGATATTGCGGAATTGTCGAGCGATGATGAATCTAATTTATATGAAAAGCTATTTAATGAAATTAAAAAGATTTTGAATGAGGATAATAAACAAGCGAGGTTTGTATTTTTATATTATATTTTCGTTTCGATATATGTATATTTATTTACAATTTGTTCTCTTTAAGCTCGTCGAACGAACAAACCACATCACATAATGCATTACGAATTGCTATACAATCGATTGCCTCCCCAATGTGGCCAATTTCTACTTCTTCGCAGGTAATAAATTAATCAATTTATATTCTTACCATTCCTCGTAATCTTATTATTATTTTATTATATTCACTATAATGTTAAGGAATTATTCAGGTTTTTTCACGCGTTACGTGGTTTATTGCGATCAACAAATCATGCTGCTATGATGACAATACCTGCACATTTATATATACATTCTGAGCTAGGGTCAGCAGTATCGCCTTCTATATCATTTATTCCGTTCATTAAAAGAATTGCTCGTGTCTGTGATGCGGTAGTAGGAATAGAATCATTTGCTGGTAAAGAATATTTGATGAAAGATTGCTGCAGCTGCCGTTATCTTATTTTTTTATCAATCTTTAGGTTCACCACAAACATCAAACTCCATCTACACGTCTCAATATAACGGTCTATTTCACGTGCACAAACTGCCGACAATAAACTCGTTACTCGCTCCAGCTACCAAACTATCAATTCTTTCTGGGGGAGGTGGAGATCAATTAGGATTCAAATTACGACGAAGAAAATTCGCTATTGAGAAACTTCATTTGCCCCCTGAAGGTGGTGTCGGTGAACGTAGAACTGTGGCTGGTGGTGGTGGCAGTGAAGTTGAGAATGCACATAAAAGTTTAAAGAAATTTGATAAAGGTGATGATGCTACTGACAATGATATTAACAATAATAGAAATAGTAGCATAATCATAGATAGTCATAATAGTAAGCCTAAAAGAGTTATTGGTGGTGGAAGTAAGTCTAATATATTATCATCTATTAATATAAATAATAGTTATAATAATGATTTATTTGAATTTTAAATTAGTAAATGTTTAATGAATTCAAAAAAATTATTTTTATTCAAAATTGTTAAATAATTTGACTTACAAATATTTTTATATGAATAATTTATTAAAAGAAAAAATAAATATATTTGTAACTGTTATTTGTAACAACTGTATTTTAATTGGCTAATTAAAACCTGAGTTAGAATTAGGATTAAGATTCTGAATATATTATTGATTACAGTCAAAGCTCTTTATAGTCATTACTCTTGGGAAAGCAAAATTGGGTGACTATAGAGAGAATGTGATTATAAAGAAGTTTTTTTACTATGTTTATATATAAATAAAAAAGCAAAATAGAATGATTATAAAGGAATATGACTATAAATGAATATGATTATAGAGAAATTTGACTATAATATTAAAGTTGTTATATATAACAATTATTACAATTAGATTAATTCAAAAATAATAATATAATATTTAATTATAAATTATAAAAATGAATTTATATTACTAATTTTAATTTATGAAATTATCAAGTATAATAAAAATAATATAAATTATATATTATTTTTATTTTACTTTTTATTATTTTTATTATATATTATTTCAAAAATGCAATAATATTTTTTTTAAACTTTTTTTTCACTTTTCTTATATTTTTATCTAATAATAATAATTCATATTCTTATTTAATTATTTCATATTATTATTATATTATTTTAGTCTATATTTTATCATTATTCAAATAATCAATCAATTCATAATATTGTTGTGATTAGATATTTTTCATAATCACAAATGATCATTTCATATAATTACTTTACATAATCACTTTACATAATCACTTCATATGATCACTTCAAATAATCACTTTAAATAATCACTCTGAATGATCATTCCAATCTATCATCTCAAGCACTCTGAATGATCATTGCAAATGATCATTTCAAACAATTATTTCAAATGCTCTGAATAATCATTTCAAATAATTATTTTATAATAATTATCAAATACTTATAAATACAGCTTGTATCTTAACTTAAAAAAATAAAAAAAATTAATTAAGTTTTATATTCTTTTAATAATCCTTTAGATAGTATTTTTATAATTTCTTGTCTTAATTATGAAGTTATTCTTGTATTTGTTTTATAATCTCTCATCACTATTGTAAAGTTATATTATTTTATACATTCTTGTATTTGATCTCTTGTTTATATTGCAAAATTAATAATAGTATTGAATTAATAAAAGAAAATTACATTTTACTTGTTTATAAATCAACTTTAAAAGAATGTTCAACTTATTATAAATTATAAAAGATACAATTATCTTTGAATCTTTTTGGTTTCATTCTAGCTAATCAAAAAAATGAACATACGTTACCTACCTTTAGATAACTTAGTAAACTCTTTTAACTTAAAGTTATTTAATACGTTAACTCTTCTACCTGATTCTATCACATGTACTCTCATGACAAAACATAAAGTCATACTAAAATGATAACAAAATTTGGTGCTTCCTCTATAGAAAGAAAAGTTTTAAAGATATCAATATTAAGAAGAAAAATTTAATAATCTCAAATATAACAAATCAATTAGTAAACAAATTCTTTGTGGATAAATCACTTAAATAATCAAACTGGATCCAATACAATTAACTAATATAGAAATTAATCAGTTATTTGAAGAATTAAAAGACAAAACAGATTTATCAGAAAATCTAAACAAATAATAACTAAAAAAATTAAAAATTAACTAGTAGAAATATTTATTACAACATGTCTAGAAAATCCAACCAGTAAACTAATTGAATAACTTGAAGAACTATTATAATATTATTCATTACAAGAAGAACAAGAAATTCGAACTTACTTATATTATTTATAACAAAATATCCAAATCTTCACAATACAATAAAAGTAACATTGTTGACAACAAAGAATTTGAGAACAATTAGTTGAACTTCAAAATTCAAAAAATCAAATAGTAATTCAAAATGATCCATCAGTACAAATTATTAAAGAAAATTCAGAAGATCCAGAAGATTAAGTAATCCAAATAATAGAAGAAAATAGTGAAGAAGAACAATTAGAATTAATTATGAATAATTAACAATTTAACCAAATGGTAACTAAACTAATCAATCTTACAAATATTATTCAAGTTCAAGCTGTTATCTCTGCTCCACCAGCAAGAGAAATATCATTTGCAAAAAATTATTGATTTCTATAGAGATACACAAGATTTTATCAAATGGTTACAAGATTTTGAAATTGCATATCAAGCTAATAATGTGATTGATGTGAGAAAATAATAAATTATTAGTGCATATTTAAAAAATATTGCTAGAACATGACTTATCAATAAAAGATTAACTGTACTAAATTGATCAACACAATGAAATTCAACTACTTTAAATGATGTAAATAATCAAGTTATTTTATTTACTTTTCAATTCAAGTAACAATTTAGAACTGTTAATAAAATTTATGAATGGTAACAATAATTAAATCAACAAAAATAATTATCTACTGAAAGCATTGAACAATATTTTACTGCTGTTCGAGAATTATTTTGATGAATTGATCCAGGTAATGCTTATTCAGAATATCTAAAAATAATATTATTTGTCAATAAATTGAAATCAAAAATCAAATTCTTTGTTAATTTCACTAGATCAGCTACTTTAAATGCTACAATTCACATTATTCAACTATATGAATTTAGTTATCAATAATTTACTGAACCAACTGTTAATATAATTACTAGCCTCTTAAATATTTCAATTATATTACAATAATTAAATAATCTGAATCAAGTCTCACAATAATTGACTGCTCTTACTAGTCATTTGAAGACTTTATCAACTAATAATAATAATAATTAACAAAATAATACATCCAATAAAAGAGTATTTAATCAATTACGAAATAATACTCAACTATTAACTTGCTATAATTGTGAAAAACTTGGACATATAGTTATTTATTGTTGAAATAAGCGTAATAATGACTATAATAATAATAATAATAATAGATCTAATTAATACTATAATAATAATAATTATAATTATAATAAAAAACTTTTTTTTGCATCTTTTCCCTATCGATCTCTTAATCAGGCAAAGTCACACTTTATCAAGCGCAAAAATTTCTTCTTAACACAACAAAATCATTATACAAAATACAAATTCTACTAATAAAACATCTTTAATCATCTTTTAATTTTCTTTTTTAATTATTTCTTAACACTATTATAACTTTACAATTCTTTTTTTTTCTCTCTTTCTCTTTTTTTCAAAATTCTATAAAAATAAAAATAACAAAAAATCTCAAAAACACAAAAAAAAATATATATACATATTTACGATATTTCTCTCTAACACTCCATCATTATGATTATTAACAACACCAAACACAAAAGAATTACTAATTCTTCTTCTTCTTCTTCCTCTATCTATATTACTGTTCAAAATTTTTTAGATTTATCTTTCTCATTCTCAAATAATATTAACAAGCAAACTCTTGTTGTAGGGTTCCGAAAAAAAGTCTGGTTCAGTTCAAGTCTGGTTCGGTTCGAGCTTGAACCGGACTCGAACCTGACGAAAAGTCCGGTTCGAAAATTCGAACCTAATTAAAAGTCTGGTTCGAGTTCGGTTCGAATTTCGAACCAGACTCGAACCTGACAAAAAGTTCGGTTCGAGTTCAAGTAAATGTTTGTTGATGTTCTAAGTAAAGTTGTAGATCGTAACATGAGCTACAAATTGATATAAG